GAGCGACCGGTCGCTAGTTCTTTGCGACCGGTCGCAGGACACGAGAGACCGGTCGCTTGACATTTGCGACCGGTCGCTTAGAAGCAGATTCAAAGTCTGGAGGGAAAAATTCTGGCGACTGGTCGCCCATTCCTGACGACCGGTCGCTCCAGTCGTGCTGTGATGCTTTGCTTACGTATTTTCAACTGTCTTTTCAATGGCTATCGCTTTCCACAAGTTTGCAGGTGCTTAATGGGTCACTTCTGAGGTAAATGAAGGTTGACTACTTGCTGGATAGTTGGGAGAGCACTCATGGCTAATTGGTTATCCTATTTTGATTAATCTCCTCTCCATTTTCTGGTTTAATGGAGGTGGCTAAGTGGGATTGTATTACCTACCTTATCTGACCCTTAGTCTAAGTGGTGACTAAAAGGAAAGAACGTGGAGGACAATCAGATATCCTATCTCTTGTCCATTGGCCTGTGTAGGTAATGGGATGAAGTAAGATAACACAAGGGAGAAAGAATGTTGAACAAATGTAGTGGCAAAAGCTGGAAACAAGTTAGAGTTTCTTTAGAGAGCTTTGTTCAGAAAAACCAAGGTGAGAGCAAGAGAGTTCTCTAAGTGTATCAAGGTGTTGAGCAAGGGTGTGAGAGAAACAGATTGTGAGGGTAGTGTTCTAAGGGGGTTTCCTTTGTAAACCAAAGTTGTAACCTATCTTCATTAGTGAAATTTCTCAAGGTGATCACCAAAGAGGATGTAGGCAATTTGCTGAACCTCTATAAACACTTGTGTCATTTGTGCTTGGTTAATTTCTGTGTGTGTGTGTAAGACTCATCCATCATTGAGTTCTTTGTCCAAAGTCCATCAACAACAAGATCTTAAAAGGGCAGTGAGTTAGTCATTAATTCTCAACAATTACATGGAGGAGCATGATTTGCTTGACTCCACTTTACCTGAGCACTTTCCAAGTTTTGATGAAGGCAAACACAACATCTTATGTTCCGAACTTAAGCAACTATATGTTGCTGTCTCTCGTACTAAACAAAGGTTGTGGGTTTATGAGAATGTGGAAGAGCTATCCAATCCCATGTTTAACTATTGGAAAAGGAAATGTCTTGTGCAAGTTAGGCACCTCGATGATTCACTTGCAAGGGAAATGCAAGCTTAGAGCAATCCAGAGGAGTGGAGGTCACGTGGCATGAAGGTTTGTTTAGTTTATAATGGTGCTGGTAATTAAGTTAATAAAACGATTTTTTTAAAATAATTTTTTTTGTATTTGGTGTTAAATTTATTTTAATTTTTGAAATTTCATCACAGTTGACTGATATGATCACTTTAAGCATCATAATCAGCATCATGGTCACCTTAAGCCTTAAAGTATAGTGTATGTATGACCATTATTTTCAATTGTATTAATCTAATCCATTTTATTTGTTTCATCCAGCTCTATCAAGAGGATAACTATGAAATGGCCACAATGTGTTTTCAAAGAGCTGGTGATACTTATTGGGAAAGAAGGTCGAAAGCTGCTAGCCTGAAAGTTATGGCTGACCTTAAGCGCACTTCAAATCCTGAAAAGGCTAATGCTCTCCTCAAGGAAGCTGGAGAAATTTTTGAATCTTTAGGGAAGGCAGATTCTGCTGCCCAATGCTTTTTTGATTCTGGGGAGTACAAAAGAGCAGGTATGATGTTAACTTCTGTTATCTTTATCCTACCAGCATTCATGCCAAAATGGCAATTTTGTTTTGATGATACCCTCTCACGGTATTACATTACACACTGAACTTGAATCTTCATATTTGTTGCTTGTCGTAAATGTTATATTATATTGGTACAGCTAGGATTTATTTGGACAAATGTGGAAAACCTGGACTTGAAAGAGCTGCAGAATGCTATTCTCTAGCAGGATGCTACAAGTGTGCAGGCGAAATATTTGAATCTATAGGCAAAGCAGATTCTGCTGCCAGATGCTTCTATTATTTGGGGGAGTATGAAAGGGCAGGTATGAAGTTGACATTTGTTCTGCATATCCTTCCAGCAGTCATATGATAGTTTAAAGGCTACTGTGTTGTGATGAAACCTTTCAGAGTATCATTAGTTACATTTGAATATTCAATTTTGTGGCATGTCTCAACTATAAAAGTTTGTTTATGCAGCTAACATTTATTTGGAAAAGTGCGGCAAACTTGGACTTGAAAGAGCTGGCAAATGCTTCTCTCTAGCAGGATTCTATGAGCATGCAGCCGATGCATATGCCAAGGGCAAATTTTTCTCCGAGTGTCTAACTATGTGTTTGAAGGGAAAACTATTTGACATAGGTTTGGAATATATTAAATTTTGGAAGCAACAAGCAAGAGAAGAGTATGATCTGGCATTAAGAGGAAAAGGTACGGATGAAATTGAACTGGATTTTCTTGAGAGCTGTGCATTTCATTATCATGAGGTTGAAGATAACAGATCCAAGATGAAACTTGTTAAAGGTGAAATGTTATCTGGGCAAAAAATTTTGAATACTCATCTTTCTTCAAGCTCGTCAAAGTATGTGTGGGAAGAAAATATTATTTGTGATCTGAAAAAGTATTCTGAAGTCAAGAAATCTAAAATGCAGGTTTCTATTGATTCACTGGTGTACTTTTGGAATTTTTGGATGGATAAGATTGTCTGTTTGATAGAATATTTTGGATCTCTAGAAACCCCAGATGTTAATAAAAGAAGAAGTTATGGAGACTTCGTTTTAAATTACTTGGTGGTGTGGAGGGAGTTTCATGATGATTTGAATCCATTATATCCTTTACTCATCTCTGATGCTGATTGGGTTAGTGGTGTGGATAAACGTTACTTTCTAAGTAATGGTGAATTGGTCACTGTTGATTTTTGCCAAATTGTTTCATCTGCTAAGATTTATTGGAGTTCAGAACTACTCTCTTTTAGTACGAAGATTTTGAACAAGCTTCAAGTGCTTTACAAGTTCATGACCGAAAAATCTGATTCAATCTTCTGCCAAAGCTGGTGTCTTACCCAGATTTATTTGGTTGCAAATTGTCTTTTGGAGTCCAAATATCTGAAGCTAAAGTATACAGATTTCAATACACTACAGAATTTTGTTAATCTGTCAACTGAAAACATTGTTGCTTGCATATTTCCTTTAGATTGGAGGAAATCTTTGAGAGAGAATATGATTTCTCTTAGGAAAAACGATGCTTGTAAAAGTTTACTCAAGAAAGTTGTAGTTGATTATATGAGCTCAAAGAAAAAGCTGTCTTATGGGCAAGTAGGAAGGATTGCAATGATTATTCTTGGCTCTAGCAATTTTAATAATGAACTGTATGCGAAGCTTGTGAATAATTTGCATTGTAGTTCACCATGGAAGGTGTTCATTAAGAACATATGTCAAGAACCGAAAGAAGAGTCTCTTCCGTGGTATGCGAAGCTTGTGAATAATTTGCATTGTAGTTCACCATGGAAGGTGTTCATTAAGAACATACGTCAAGAACCGAAAGAGGAGTCTCTTCCGTGGTGGTTCCACGAAGCTTTGTATGACACTTATTTTGCAAACTGGGAGGGAGAACGTGACTACCTGTCACCTGATTGCTTGTTGTATCTTGTAGAACGCCTTCTGATGTGGGTGTCCTGCTTACAAGGGTATGTTATCACTACAAAATCTTGTTTTACTGAATGGGTGATACACCAGCAGGAAGATACAAAATTTACTTCCAGTATAAGGCCTGATGTGCCAATATGTTTTGAAGTCATCCTTCAGTTTTTGATTGATGTGGTCTGGGCTTTGCTTTATGATAAGAACACCGTGGTTGACTGGATTCAAAAGTCTATCAAGGACTGGGAGAAGTATTATTCACTGCTGATCCTGAGATTGGTTGTCATCTTATGCTTGCTTTATTTTAATTTTGGGATGTGTTTTAGCATACTCTTAGAACTAATTTGGAGGGACTACATCACTGAGCAACTACCAAAGGAGTTTTGTGAGGCCCTCAGGAGACTTATATTTGTACAAAATTCTCCTAGTATAAATTCGAATCTGATTGAGGAAGCCTTTAAGAAAATTGGTAATCCTTTGGTAGTTGCAAGTTTCGGGATCGATTGTTCTAGGTTCATTTGTTCAGATGCCATTTTTTTCGACATGAAGGCCAACCTGTGCATTGACGAAATGTTGAGAACATTGTTCTCAAAACCGCACATTCATGTTGAATCTTCACGAGGTCAATCTGAAGCCACGGTGGTAGAAGCTAAAAGTTACTGCTCTGCTGCGCCTCCTGCTTATGATTCAAATGAGGCCAACTGCTCTAAGCTTGTTCCACACACCCCCGGCTTGGTAACAGATAAGGTCCAAAACACAGGAAATAGCAAGCAAAGTAGCCTTCCAATGGATTTTGATCTCTTTTGGGAAATAATTGAAGGTTTACAATTGTTGGAGAAGGAAGGAGATCAGAGGAGTTTATCTTCAGAGGCCTCCACAATCAAGGTAATTAATTCGGATTTCTTTCTTTTACGGTTTATATTGCACAATGAGCAACAACTGTATTGAGTTTTCCTTGTTCCGTGACATTATTTTTAGTTGGATCTGGAGAAAGCTATTGGCACCTGGACTGCTGCATGGTCTACATACTATTCAAACTGTGATGACAGAGGAGCATTATCTGCAGAAGTACTTCACATGCTTGATGAAACGGTGCAACTCTATGCTGTATTAGATGGGAGGTCGGTTTTTTAAATTCAATTTAATGTTCTTGATTATTTGATGGACCAACAATTTTCTCTTGCTTTATTTATCTCTCATTCTAATTAATTTTCCCCTGATGCATCATTCTTGGTTTCATTTGTCTCTATTTTCGGTTCTCAGTGAGCAGGAACTTCGCAACAAAATTTCAACAGTTGCAGAACTTTCAAGGCGGTTGCAGTCAAGGAGGCAAACGGTGGAGCCAATCTTGACTCGCCTAGTTTTGGAGCACAATTCAAAGCTTGCTAGGAATGCAATCTTGAATCAGCTATTTTTGGAGCACCAGACAAGGCTTGCTTGGAAGGCAATCTTGAATCAACTGGTTTTGGAGCACCATACAAAACTTGCTAGGAAGCTAGCTACTGGAGACTGTTGAATCTGGTAAAGCTGAGGAAAACAGCATATCCAGTGGCACACAAGCTGATGTTTCTATTGGAACAACAATTGCCGGTTAGGGAACCTAGGAAAGAAGGAAATTGCAACGCCCTTGATATATTCTCATTTTTGGCATTGTATATATGTGTTTGAGCCACCACCTGCATATATATTGCATAATATTATGCAATAAATGCTTAATGAATCAGAGCCAAGTTGCATCGTAGAACAAGATTAAATTAGGCTTGGCTACCGGTCAGACTCCGAAAACTTACCCTACCATTAACCAAACCGAACTTTTGATAGGCCAAACTGCTCTTCTATTCACCAAAATTTAGAGCCTTAACCTTAAGTTGTTTAGGTTGGAATACCGAATTTTCGGTTTGGTTCGCTTCGGTAGGGCAATTCTACACAATTCCAAACAGTTATCTAAAAGATTGAGGGAGAAAAAACACTAATTCATCACCAATCGAACATGGTAAACAGCTGCATCTACAAAGGCTGAAAGTCTTAAATAAGTCAATGATACAATGGTGTAATCTAATAGACCAATATAATTCGGACCTTGGACCGTGACTTGTTGAAAAATTTAAGTCCCACATCAGAAACTTGACTAAATAAAATACAATACATAATGAAAGGTTTCACTACTAATATCATCGAGGCATTTTGTTATAAAATTTCACACCTACTTGGCTTTGTAGGTGGTTAAGTTGGGGACAATATCGGTGTTGCTAGTAGTGGCTCACTGACCCGTCTCTCTGAAATTCAACTTCTATTAATATTAGTCAACCCCTTATAAGCTCATCACTCTAAACTCCTCACTGAAAAGTCTGTATGGTGCATTTGGAAAGCCCTCAAAATACCTGTACTTCTAAAACCGGTCCAACTTCTCCAAATGTGACAATTCATAATGGGATAATTTAACATAAGAAGAAGCTCACACCATAGAGAATATGATATAGACATAAGAGAATAAGAATCTGTTTTTCAAAAAACATGAAGGACCACATCTTTTCATTTGTCTATACCAAAAGCAAGATGTTTGGCACCTTGAAGTAGAAAAACTTGTGTGAGACGGGGATAGCAGAATAGTGCTATCCTTGTTTCACTTAAGTGTTTCTCCACTTGAAGACTTAGGAAAAGGATTTTCAAGTCAATTTCAAATTGAGCTTGGGTATAATGGTCCAATCACTAAAAAATACGTTTTTATTTAATAATACAGGCCTTATAGGATAAATGAATAATACCTTTTTTTTAAAGGGTATAAATATTTCAGAAACTTATAACTCTAGCTCCCAAGACTTTCACCCATCAATTAGAGTTCAACTATTGACAAAACTCACTGTCCTTGTCTCACACTCCCACTCCAACCATAGTTATGAGCAGTTAAATTAAGTGTATTCATTGTAATTAAATTATTGTTTGGTACCAGTTTTTTGCAACCCTTAGTGGGCTCAGTTTTGGGATAAATTAGTGGGTCTTATTTTAAAGTCAAATATAGGCTTAGCTGTTTAAAATAAATTAATTTTTGTAAAGTTCACTTCTTGAAGTTGGCCCATTTCCGAAAGAATAGGCCCCGGATCGTGGCAAGTCAGAGCCTAAGTTGGGCATTTGGCCCCAAACCGAGAACCAGGTGAGGACACGACTAAGGTGTTGATCAAGCTGCTAGCTTGCCGGGAATTGAGGGTGACGTCGAGAATTGATAATACCAAAGCATTGGTTGCCTTGGCAAAAGGCATTTTTGGGACTAGTGATTGAGGGGGAAGTCACCAGGTCATGTTAGACATGCAAAAGCTTTTTGGGCGGTGAGATATCTAGAGACAAGCTTACTTGGGCGGCATCTTCCCTCTAATTTCAAAATCGAAGACACAACTCAAAAAACAAGTCGAAACGCTGCTCAAATGCACTCTAAACTTTACATTTTATTTTCTTATATTTTTCATGTAATCATATCAACAAGTTATTTGTTTATCAAATTTCTTGAGCGTCACCCATTTTAACCATTCATCGAGTATATCAAAAATAGTTTTTCTTTGATCTAATTCATAGTTTAATTTTGAGCACCATTTAGTCCATACTTTCACAAATATTCTCAATTATTCGAGTTTATTTGTGAGATTGTCGTCTAGTCGCCGAGCTCGGGGACACTAAGCTAAACAATACATAAAAGCCTTGTTGCCAAGCTAAAAGAACCAACGACCGAGAGGTGTTCTTTTCTCGACCATGATCACTCGGTCACAAAAGTTAAGGTCATGCGCAATTACAAACTATACATCAAACTCATTCACACGCACAACTACCATGGTCAAACCGTGTTGGCACACCTAAAAAAATCACACATCCCAAGAGAGACCCAGTTGGCACCTAATCCCTCGGCTTGTCGCATCAAAACTTTCTTTTTATCATTTTTAAATTGGTAAAATGAGCTTAAAAGAATTT